GACCTTGAGGCTCTTAGGCTGCTTCTTCCAGAAACCCTCCCCAAAAGGGAGAGATCGGCTTGCTTAGGCAAAGTTAAGCTTTCTGTAGGGGTGTGCGCACAAATCACGATTCTGTGAGTGCAGAACGTAATAATGGCCATGAAATCCAACTTCTTAGGCATTTCAGGGATTATTTACAAGTAAATTATGAGTGCAAAGATAATCTCGTGTGTGTGTGTGTGAGAAAAGTATTTGCTTAATATTGGGAAAGGTGGAAACCAATATATAAATGGTTAGGGATAAGGAGAATAAATAATTAAAGAGAGATAGGCTAGCGCAAGTAGTGAAAGTGAAAGATATAAGCGTAAATGGTAAGCTAAAATGTGGAAAATGGAACATATGATATCAAAAAATGTGATGTAAATATTACTTTGAATTGGAAACAATGTATTGAAGACTGTTAAGTGATGTAATAGTTTGTAAAAACCAAATAAATAGATTTTTTTTAAAAAGAGAAAAGTATTTGCTTGAAATCTCAGAATCCAGAAAAAGGACTGAGTTAGAGTTAGCAAAAAAGCAAAATTATGTAAATATGCAAAAGGTGTACAGATTGCAGAATATAGATTCCTTGGTATGGAATCTGGATTGTCTGAAGGCAATTTAAAAAACCAACAAAACCCCTGAGGTGTAGACTTGGAGCTGGGCATGTCTGTCTGTTCACATGTATCCTTTTAAGTTATGAAGGGAATATGCAGTTGCTTGAGTTCATTTTGTTCTTTTCCTCAAAGAACACCTGACACCACTGTAGTCCAATAGTTGCAAGCATCCTTCTGGTTCAAGACACTGCTGTCTAATTAGGGTTGCCTTTGCATGCACAGAGGTGGTGGGTGCTCCTGCAGCGATTTCACTGGGAGGTATGCCTGCCTTCTGTTCAATGTATCCCTCAGTAACCAATCATCTTCAGTAAAGTCATGCGGGGCTAACTCAGAATTCTCCTATACTCTGTTCTTTAGAGAAACAGCACCTCTCTGTGGTATGCAAGGGCAGCCGGGAAAGGATTTACAACAGATAATTCTTGAGGAACTTTCACATCAGTAATCAAGAAGCCTGTGCACGTCTTTTAAAAAAAGGAGTCTGTTCTGAATGTTTTTGTGGGGAGGTGTTGGCAGGAGGAAGAAGGCTACATCATAAATCTTTGGCTAATGCTCTTCCTCCCTCCCTCCCCAGGAGGAACGCCGTGTTGTCTTCATTGGGAAGATCCCTAGCAGGATGACCCGTTCAGAGCTTCAGCACCGTTTCTCTGTGTTCGGAGACATTGAGAACTGCACACTGCATTTCCGAGAACAGGGGTAAGAGAGGTGGCTCCATTTGTCTTTGGGGTGACACATCTTCCCTAGCAGCATTGGTCTAATAGGAATGGAAAGTGGGGTTTGAAGCATGTGACCTATTTTCCTCAGACTGCGCTCCTCCCCACTCCCCCCCCCCCGTACATGTTCTGGATGTATAGTTTTACTGCTTGTCCCTCTTGCCTGGCAGGGATAACTATGGTTTTGTGACATACCGTTATGCTGAGGAGGCCTTTGCTGCCATAGAGGGTGGACATGCACTGCATCACCCTGATGAGCAGCCCTTCGACTTGTGCTTTGGAGGGCGTCGGCAGTTTTGCAAAAGGAGCTATGCTGACTTGGGTGAGTCTGTGGAGAGGCTGACTTGTGAGCATGGGTAAACAGAGTTACCCTGAATCATCTTTGAGGCTTTGTAACAGCAAGGAACAGTCCAAACCATGGGTACCTTTGGTGCAGGAGTGCAGCATTCTACTTCTGCATACCTGGTGACCAGTGTTCCCTCTAAGCTCCACAGTGTTGTGAGCAAAAATTCTACCTCATGAGCAAAAAAAGCTAGTAGCATTAACGTTGTGAGCGAGTCTACCTTTTATTGCATAAATTAGTTTCTTAGATTATTTCCATAACTTTGTAAAAATCTCAGAATGAATTCTTTTAAACTATATTCAAACTATATGTTAGGAATAATTTAAACATAATAAGAGAACACAGAATCAAGTCAAATTTCATTACACAAAATGTTGTCCTCTATGGGGGTACTTCAGGCCTCTGGAGAACGGTCTACTCACCCTTTCCACTATATTGGTAGACCTGGCCTCTAGAGAACAGGTCTTTCCACCCCAGTCCACTATATTGGTAGACCTGGCCTCGGACCATCGCCCTGCTCTGAGCCTTAGAAAACATACCAGCACTTGGGGGAAGGGGGGAACTCTTGCGGTCTGCTTTGTTGTTGTTTTTTAGTGAAATATGACAAATTTACAGGCCAAGTGTAACAGAGGTGGAACAATCACTGTCAGAACTCTGCCTAACCTAACAGACAGGAAGGTGCTTAAATGTTATCAACCTGCCCAAACTGTTTATTTATTCAAATATTTATATCCCACTTTTCCTGTGAATCAAGGCAACTTTTTAGATTATACTGAAAAGCATAGTAGGGGTGTGCAAGATTCCCCCCCCCCCCAGCTCCATTATAACTTATGAGGACCATTATAGTCAATGGGCTCCATAGGCTATGATGGAGAATTGATCTGGGGGTATCTGGGGCTCGGAGGGGAGTTGTTTTTGAGATAGAAGCATCAAATTTTCAGCATAGCTGCTGGTGCCTCTCCTCAAAAAACCCTCCAAGTTTCAAAAAGATTGGACCAGGGATCTAATTCTGTGGACCTCACAAGGAGGTACCCTCATCCTCCATTGTTTCCAGTGGAGAGAAAAAAGGTTTGTGGGCAGGATGCTGAAATCTGTGAGCAGCCAGCTAAAACTTTGTGCATCAGCTCCCTCTAGCGCAGTTTAGAGGGAACACTGCAGGTGACCTCATGAATCGTATCAGTTCAGTTCACCCTGCAAAGTATATTTGGTGGTGACTTCAGTACAGAAAGGGGGATGCTTGGTTTCAGTAATTCAGACAATGAAGCTGTCAGTTGGGGTCCTGTGACTTGTTCTTGGTCTGCAATATGGCCATGTGTATGAGAGAGAGAGATGTACGCAAATTTTTTCATTGGGCTAAGAGTGTGCTTGAGGAAGCCTAGCTAGTTTTTCTATTTCAAAATATTCTGGTTTCTCTAGTCCAGGGATACTCAGTGGCTCAGGAGCCACATGTGGCTCTTTGATATGCCCCCCTGCACCTCTTCTGGGCACTGTTACCCTGCTTGGCACTTGCCCCATGTTTCAGTAAAATGGGGCTTGTGTTTGGCAGGCGGATCCCACCTTGAAAGAGTCACCATCAGAGGAACGGGTAAGATGTGAACTGTCCTGAGGTGCAGGCCTAATGCCAGGGATGGAAGTAAATGTGGCAGTTTTGGTTGATGGCAACTACAAATGCAGCTCACTGTGAGCCACAGAGTTAGTACCACTGCTGTCATTCTAGCTGACTTGCTGGTAAATGCCTTTTTTCTGTTTTGTTTCCAGACTCGAACATAGAAGACTTCGAGCCTGCCGCTGTGAAGAACAAGTTTGACTCCCTTGACTTTGACACCTTACTAAAGCAGGCTCAGCAGAGTCTGCGGAGGTAACGCTGGCTCTCTCGGGCTCAGTGTGCCCGGTAGGCATCTGCCTACACCAGCCTTACCTCAGACAGGCTGCAGGGGCTGGCGCCCCCCCAGCCTAGCTGCTATGTCCAGCATGGTTTTGTAATGAAATGAAAAAAAAAACCCACAAACAATTTTTATCTTGATTTGTTTTTCTAGGGACTATTTAAGGGGAAGGACATTTTTGCTTTAACGGTGGGGTTGGGGATGGAATAACGACACCCAGCCACCTTCTTCCCACTTACTCGCTATGCAGTCAATAAACATCCACCATAGATATGCCAGACATGCTGTTTGTTCATCTGTCATAGGAGGGGGGTGGAAGATCGAAGGTATAAGCCTCCTGACGGGTGCAAACTTTACACACCTGGCAGAGGGCTCTAGGATCCATCTTTAGGTGCCACCAAACCATGACCTGCTGCATTCTGAGATGTTGGGGTAATTGTAGTGCTGCAGTCCTGGCTCTTTGTCCGGGGGGGGGGGGGGGGGGGGGGGTGACACTTTGCTGTCTTGATTGCTCCTAGTTCACTAGAGCACCACCAGGGAATATAGGAAAAGCAGTCCCAGCATGACTTTAAATGCCCAGGAAGTACCTGTAGTACATAGTTTGAGCAAAGAAGAGTCCCATCACTACAGGCCTTGGGTGTGCTGCTTTATTCTTCCATTCAACTCATGTCTGTTGCCGCACCCTTCTCTGCTAGCCTGGGTGCAGGGTGTCCGTACACCACATACTTCCCCAACTCTGAAAATAGTCTCTGTTTTTCTAAGTTAAAATGTTGGCAGAAAAGGAAAACGTTTATGTGGCATCTATCATTTTGTGTCAGCTGGTTCAGTGAAGATCAGTGCAGGTCAGTGCAGCCACCTGTATACATTGTGTGTATTTGTATACATTATTGTGGTTTTGCTAGCCATAGTGGGGTGCAAGGAATTATTCAGGGCGCTAAAGACCTACCCCTGTTGACTGAAAAACCTGTTCAGCAACTGTTGTGGCACTTGAGATTTCAGTAGTTGTCACACTGTCTTTTCAAGCATATTTTTGCACCAAGTTGTCACACTGTCTTTTCAAGCATATTTTTGCACCAGAGTGGCATAAATCTTGCTCAGGGTGTGTGTGTGTGCAGAAACAAACAAAAATTATCTCAAAGCTGAATTTTTGTGCTCGTCACAGCACTCTGAGAATTTTATACATTCTTCCAAAAGTGCAGGTTTATTAAAGGCTATGCAGTTTTGAATCTAGCCCCATTCTCCACACACCAAAACAGGCCTCTGCTTTGCAAGCTATGGTGACTGCCCACTGATCGGGTCAGGGTCTGACACAAGCCTTAATTAGTGGCTTATGAACTGTACACTGAAATCTTCTGCAGTGCTTTAGAGAACTTTAAATCCTGCTTACCTAAGCAGAGATTCAGGAAACCATGTTTCAGTTTTTGGCCTATGAATTATTTAATACCTTGTAAAGAGAAAAACAGAATGGGAGAACTTGAAGGAAATGAAAAGTTTCCATACAAGGGTCTCAACTTGTTATTCCTGTCCTTGCACACTCCTTTGATTCCTCTAGTAGGCAGTGGCTTATGGGGGTGGTGGTCTGCCCCGTCGCAGTTTACGGAAGGCTTTTGAAAGGGGCCATTGAAGCCTGCTGCCTCCAGCCAAATGTCTTCCCTTTTATTTTTAAAATGCAGTTGTGGCTGCAGCCACTAGGGGCACAGGGAAGTCTAAGCATAGCAAAAGGGCTAAGCTTCCCTTTTCTCCAAGACGCAGGCAAACTTCCTTAACACATGGTGCTGATAGCTGCTACAGTAATTGCCAGCCTGCATGTCATGTTCTCCAAGAGCCTAGCTTTTCTCCCTTTTCTTGCACACAGCTCAGCCAGATCCTGCAAAGTAATAGGGTGTTGCACCAAGATAAAACAACCTTACCTTCCCTTAATTTCCCTCCTTTCCACATTTTTCTCATTCATTTCTGTCTCCACCAAAATTTTCTGTGTCCCTCCCACCTTTATTTTCACTTCCTTGGTCTCAAGACCTCATCCCTATCCTGCTTGGTGACAGAATGCATTTAAGAGTAGCATAGTAGTAAACCTTTGTTAATATTATGCTAGGTACTCTGTACATTGCCCTGGTTCTGCTGGGGTGCAAAAATGCCCCCCTCAGTTTCTACTGCAGAGATTCTCTGGTTTCACTTTGGTCCTTTGGAAACAATGGAGGGTGGGGTACCTTCTTTGGGTGGTGTGTGTGTGTGTTTCTTAACATCCAGTCCGGTGAAGCTTGTGATCATGATTTTGTGATGCTTTGGCTAGTGTTACGTAGTAAAAGTTAGTACAGAGGATTTGAACACGGATTTCCCAGATCTAGCCTGACACTTTAATCACTACACCACACTGGCTCTCATGATGGAATAGCATGTTGGAATTTGATTTTTTGTTTTGTTTTTACTGGCATGATTATATAAACAAAGTTGAATACAAGAAATTTTCTTTTCTGGCCACTGAATGCAAGTTTTGGATCCAGTGGCACCTTTAAGACCAAACTTTCTTCTGATGCTTCAGACCAAAATGGCTACCCACCTGAATCTATTTTCTGGCCATTATCATTCATTTTATTTTATCCACTATAGGAAAACTTTACGCTGCAATGCTTCTTGAAAAGTCGGGATCTTGGGTTGAAGGAAATAACATTTTGGGAAATGAACAGGCTGGTTTTAGAAAAGAAGCAAGTACTATTGCCCATTGTCATACCCTCCGGTTCTTGGTTGATAAATACACAAATTCTGGAGAAGACATGGCAACTGCCTTCATGGACTTAAAATCAGTGTTTGATACAATCTCTAGATCCCAGCTATGGGAAAAGCTGAAGAAATATGGCATTGAAGTCTCCTTTACTTAATTCAACAGCTCTACAACCTCTGCCTGGGTTAGATGCAGGGAGCTATCGGAATTGTTTACCCTAGACAAAGGAGTCAAGCAGGGATGTTTACTTGTGCCCCTGTTGTTCAGTTTATATATAAATTACCTCAGACCCCATCTCCTGAGGGAAGCATGTCATCTTCCACATTTATCTAAGCACCAAGTCCCACTCCTCCTATATGCTGAGGATGCTGAGGAGTGGTAATGTCTAGATCAATAGTGGGCCTCCGCAAGCTGATAAAAAATTTTGAGCTTTACTGTTGAGGGCTTGTCCATCCAAGGTATTCACCAAAAGGAAAAGGGGGGGGGGGAATCTTCAAATGGGACACAGCAGGCCAACCTATGGAACAGGCCAATCAATTTAAATATCTGAGAATCCACTTTGAAGCATCTCTTACATGGAAGATAGCAAGGATCTAGCAAGGAACACAGCCTTGAAAGTAAGGGAGTATTGTAAAATACTTCTACTTATCAGGAGGTGAATTTGTCCCCTTGGTCTTAAAGGTATTTAATGCTAAGGTTCTAAACCAGTTCCTGTATGGTGCGGAATTTTGGATTCAGGCTGCTTCTGAAAAACTGGATTCCATCCAGTATGACTTTTTCCAGTGCTTATTGACTACTACTAGATGTGTCTTGGGCAAGGCACTGAGAGGTGAACTAGGCAAATTATCAATGGAAGCTAGGGCTTGGATTAAAGCATTTCTCTTCAAAGGAAAGGTTTTAAAATCTGAGTGACGTTCTGGTCTACTTGCGCTTATCCAGGCAGATAAACATTATCGCCAGTAAGATCAACTATTGGAAAAGAAAATGAAATGCCGAGGAATAACAAATTATATTAAGAATACAGAAACTAAAGACATTATAAGGCAAAAAAATGTGTAAGGAAATTGGATGTTACACGTATGACTATTAGGGTGTGCAGGGTATGTTTGACATTCCATTTGGGAATTGCCCTCCCGGTGCAACTGAAAAATATTTTTATCAGTTGACAGTTCCAAAAGTAAGAAGAGCTTTTACTTTGGTAAGAATGAAGGTTCTTCCCTTGGCGGTTTTGGGGGGCAGATATAATATTGTACTCTAACAGAACATGCAGTTGCTCATATGATAAAATCAAAACGATTGAACATATGATTATGGAGTGCCCTATATAACGAGTTGAAGGCCAGTTTCGTCACCCCTTTACTTAAAAATATGATATTGCCAAATGTGCAAGCCCAGGTGTCCTGGCTACTATTGGATACAAATGATCTCAGTGGCAAAATTCATAGGTGCAATTATCATACGAGAAACAATACTGAGTAAGGTCTTAGAATAATTTTTGGTTCTAACGTCTGCTTAAGGCGATAGCCGAATGAGCAGTACTAGATAGATAGATAGATATTCATTTTATTTCATGATGATTACTGAAAACAATTTTGTCATATATTTATTCAAATGTATATTCCACCCTCCCTGCAAGTGGGCTCAGGGCAGAACACAAGCACAATAGAGGAGGGGCCCTGACCAATGTTCCCTCTAAGCTACGGAGCCCTGTGAGCAAAAATTCTACTTTGTGAGCTACTGGCATTAAAGTTGTGAGCTGGTGAATTGACTGCTGCATAAATTAGTTTGCTCTGGAGCCATCCTTCCTGAGCTAAGACAATAATGTGTGAGCTAGAGGCTAAAAAACTGTGAGCTAGCTCACACTAACTCAGCTTAGAGGGAACACTGGCCCTGACCTGGATGGCCCAAGCCTAGCCTGATCTCGCAAGATCTCAGAAGCTCAGCAGGGCTGATGCGGAGGCAGGCCACCTCCGAACATCTCTTGCCTTGAAAACCCTAAGAGGTCACCATACGTCCGCTGTGACTTGATGGCAAAAAGAGGGGGGTGTTAAAAAAAAAATCAGCCCTGAGTGCCAAATAGGCTAGGTACACCACTGCTAGTGCGGTAGGTTGTATGAGCCTGAAAAGCTCCAGCAAGTGGTTTTCACCCTACCTGCCACATGAGGGCAGTATGCATAAAAAAATAAAAAGCAGTACAGTACCATCGCTGAATCTGGAGTAGCATACTGTTAAAACTAGTGATTCTCAAAAGTTTTTGAAGTTGGACCCACTTCTAAACTTGACTATATTTCTGGGGGGACCCTTGCAGAGTTCACTCACGGCTACCATTTCTCCCCAACACAAGTTAATACTGAATCAGCTTATATACATTTTTATGCTTTGTATTTGTAAATACAGAGCATTACTGAGCAACAGGTTGTATTTCGTGGCTATTTCGTACATTATGCAAAGGCAAACACAGATTTGATGTCAAGCCTCCTTTCCCAGTTTACCCTATTCCTCCTTCCTCCTGCTGTTGTGACCCATCTGCAAGAGACTGAAGATCTACTTTG